ATGCTTTTCTCACTCTGTCTTGCCTGCTCCCATTCTCCTACCTCAGTCTTCTTTTACTCTTAGAGCTGCAGTCCAAGGAACAAGCAGTCCTCTGTCTTTATTTCCTGGGATTGTGGTATTGGGCAAGTGATGTCCTTCCACACACCCCAGTCCGTAGCCAGTCTAATATCACTCTTCTCCTTCAACTGCCTCCTTAAGCTTCTTCAACCAAAGCCTTCTTCAACCAAAGGGCCTTATACTGATGAGAGGCTGCCTGGAAACTCCTATCTAAGAGGGAACAGGTTTCCTGAATGCATATATATCTTCTCCCATCCTGTGAATGGGCAGTGCAGCTGCCCACTTAAATTCAGACATGGGAGGTAAAACTGGAGAGGCCTTCCAATTAAAAAAGAAAAATAGCCTAGCAAATGGGGTCCTTTTTGTCCCTGTGGGATAGGGGCTTTGGTGTTAAATCAGAAGGCCACCAATTTTTTAGAGTAACCACAATATATTTGTTTGTCAAGCTTTTATCCTGAGCCTTTTTGGTACCACTGGAAGAAGCATCAAAGGCTGTGAAATCTTCCCAGATTGCCTTGCTCTTACTGTGACATCATCCGGATCCTACTGTAACATTGATGTATTCTTTGTTTAATGAAATAATTTGGGGGCATCTATTGATTTTATCCTCCACCAGTCTGTGGAAGGGCTCCTGGCCACATTCAGCGTGTCATTTGGGGGTGGGGGTTACCTTGCCAATTGCAAGAATCAGAGCCAGTGATCAGCACTTTAGGAATCATGAAAATAAAGTGATCATGCAAAACAGGTGTTATTTATTTCTGGATCAGCGAACAATCTTATATACTGCCATGTCACATTCCAGAATTGAAGCTGTAAATACTTGGAGCAATAATTGTACGGTTGTAGAGAGAAGTGGGTGGTGCAACTGGATTGGCAACATGGATTAATTTTCCACAGGAATGAGTTTTCAAAACTGCAGGCATGTTTTGTGAATTTATCTTTCTATGTGATTTTTAATATTTGGATCATAATTTCACTGAAATTTCACTGTAGTTGTAAGAGATGGCCTGACAGTAGTGTTACTAATTAAGAACTGGGATATGTGGAATCATATGATTCATGAAATGTCCCTTTTGACAAATGACCAGTTAGCCAATAATTGAGAACGGCAGTACAAAAATTTACCCAAGCAGTTAAAGCAATTGTTTTACATGGAAAATAAAAAGAAATAGAAGGGAAGAGCTTATTATAAAGGGTATGGCAAAACCTTACAAGATCCTGATAGCGTTAGCCATTTGTCTTACTGGAACAATTGAACGGATCTGGTTTATCTCTTTATCTCTAAGCTTTCCTTCTCAGAATTTTTCTGTAATTAAAGGAGAAGTTGCTGAAATCTCTACATTGGGTAAGACAAAGTTTAATTCTTCAGGCTGAGAGAATCACCAATCTTGGCTTTGAATTTGAGCTGCTAGCTCTGCTCTGTGACAGACAGACAGGTCAGGATTACTGAGCAGTTCCTTAAATGAGTCCCGAAAAGATAGGGTCGTGGGTACTTCTAATACCCAAGCTGTGCTCCTCAGTCATGGCATCCATGCCCGAACACTGTACAGTCCACAGCTACCACATTGCTGGAAACTTTTGCCATGCCATGGCCACCTCCTGTGTGGCCTGCCTCACAGATGAGTCCAGCAGGCGCTGCCAATTAAACCTGGAGTGAAAGCTCATGTTGGTAAAGTTTAATGATCCTTGGCATAACATTGTGTTCGAAGCGTGACTCCTTTGAGCAATGATCCAGTGTCAAGAGGTAGAAATATCCTGTAGGACAATGTTTTCAAATCCTGGCAACTTTCAATTCTGGAGTTGAAGTCCAGACATTTAAAGTTGCCACTGTAGGATCTGTTACTGACTGAGGCATCCTAAGGAATAGAAAGGGATCTAAGGAATCATATTTCCTTTGCAACCATCACTGAATAAGCCCCTGAGTTTTTTGGGAGAATCAGAAAGTACTTTGGTTGCATTGGTTCAGTCACTTTGAACGTTTGGCTTCTCTCTGAGTACAAAGGAGGATAAAAAGAAAAACATGAATATTGTATTCACAAAAGAAGGAAGAAGGACTTCCTCACCCTGCCCAGCTTTGCACTCCAATACTGAATTGATGAATGATGCCTCTTAACACTGGAGTCTTTGAGATGGTGCAGGCACTCTTGCCACTCAGCAGATGGAGCTCAAACATTGATGGCTCCCTCCAGGGTTAGCACTGGAGAGGAAATATGCAGCTCCTGGTTTTGTTTTCAATTTTCAAGCATTTCTTTGCACATACGTATTGTGGTCTGGATCAGGACAACTCTGGTTGCAACATGATGACAGAGGGAAACTTTCACAGTTCAATGTTCCCTACAGAAGTTTAGCTCTACAGGGAAGCATGAAGGGATTGTAGCCACCGCCAAGTGTACATGGTACGGCTGTTTTTCCCGAGAATTTGGATCATTGCTGTATAGTGTAAATGAATCCTGCTTTAATCTAGCACTTAGTGAGAACTTCTTGTTAGTTTCTGGTCAGTGTGTTTTGAATTCAGAACATTTGAGCTGAGGAAACCGGTTTTAATATGGGTAAAACCCTAGGTTATTCTGTAGATAAATTATGGTTAAATCATGGGTAAGTGCATCATGCAAACACAGCCTACATGAAGCTGTGGTGTGGTGGGTAAATGTATACAGCTGGCCCCTACATACAATTCTGCACTGAACACTCTCCATTGTTGCTAAAAGCTGAGCCCTGTTTGGCTCAGGAGTCCACTCTACCTAAAGCATATGATATGACAATAGAGGGTTTCTGCCTCAGCAGCTCTCAATTCTTAAGATGGGCTAAGCAATGTGCTGTCTTCAAGGGACAGAACCAGAGAAAGTTGATCCTGCTCACCCCACCCACCCACATTAGTGGCCATACCCACAGCTCTTGAATATTCTAAACCTGGAATGAAACATCAGTTTTTGAAGTCTTTCAGCTTGGCACCGAAATGTCTTTTGAGATATTCCTTAAGGGGCTTTCTATTAATTATTAATATTATGGGATTAATATGGATCTGATCCTTTGTGGGTGTTTAAGTTGGATTTTAGATTCTGCTCACTGCTGAAATCCCATTTTAAATTAAGCTGAAAGAAAAAAACACTCACTGCCTAGTTCACATACAGCACCTATTATAGCTAAACTACAAGTACTTGTTTAACAACCATTCAAAGTTAAGGTTTGAATGGCACTGAAAAAAAAGTGACTTCTAACTGGTCCTCACACAACTCTTGCAGCATTCCCATAGTCACTTGATTGAAATTCAGGCACTTCGCAACCACCATGTAACTACGATGGCCCCAGTTTCCAGAGTCATATTTGTGATAGTTATTTTGCAACCTTCCCAGTTGGCTTCTGACAAAGTAAATGGGGGGGAGCTGGATTTGTTTAGCAATTGCAAGATTCCCTTAACCACTTGACAACAGTGGTGGATTTCAATTTTTTTACCACCGGTTCTGTGGGTGTGGCTTGGTGGGCATGCATTTTGCGTGCGTGCATGCCAAACACATGCTTCACGCATGCACAAAGGGTTTGCTACTAACCTGCAATCCTGCACTCTCCCTGTGTCTTCAACAGCTGACACGTAGCAATCCGCTGTGCTTGTGCGAAGCAGCCGAGCTTCAAAACCAGGAAATAAAAATCAGTATTGAGCAGGAGTGGGCGGAAGGGCCCAGCAGCTGATTGTTGGAGCGAACCGGTTTGCTCAGATGATCCTCAGAGCTACCAGTTTGGCTGAACCGGGCCAAACCGGTAAAATATCACCACTGCTTGACAACCATGTCAAAAAAGATCATAAAACTGGGTGCGACCCAGTTAACAACCTCCTTGCTTAGCAATAGAAATTCTGGTCCCAATTGTGGTTGTAAGTTGAGTACTACCTTTATGGTGCAAATATGCTGACTAAAGAATTTGAATCCAGCTCTAAGGGATCAAGTGGCCAAAAAAAAGTCAAATTCCAACTCCTCTCAAAATACCTCTGCTTTCATGGCCATTTCAGTGTGGATTTAATTCAGAAACCGCCATGTAAATACCTTGGCAGAGAAAGGGATTTTCTGTCACATTCAGATGGCCATTATGGACATTTCTTCCAGGTCACTGTAACTATAAGAAATAGCCTTACGGAGGAGATACACCTCATACAACTAATTTAATTTCTGAATTTATTGTGGACAGGGGGTGATAGTGGAATGCATGTTGAAACAGATGGGGGAGACTTAATGTGTGTTACTATGAGAGGTTGAAGGATGAGACATTTTTTTGAGTCCTGATTTTCAAACTCTCCTACGGTGGAGAAACGGATATGCAAGTTCCCTTGGCTAAAAGATATTTCAGATCCGGATCTTGCTTCATGTTGACACTCCATAAGAATTGCAGAAGATACACACACTATGCGTGACTGTTAATACAATGACATCTCTGGGAAGTATTCAACATTTTTGGGTGGGATAAAAAGAGACAAAGTGGCTGCATTAAGCTTTGGTGCTGGTCACAATTGGCAATTTTGTCTGCTCTTCAGTGAGCACTGCCTGGATATGATCTTGAGACTGAAAAACGAGATCTGCTGGGAGGGGGGCTCCCCGGTGCGGCTCTTGTTCTGTCATCCCAACATTCAACTTGATTTTGTTTCAGGTTAGTAGAGGTGTGCCTAAATAACATAAATGAAGGCATCCGACTTTGTTGCAAACTGCCCCAGATTTTTCCAACATGGGCACTTATTCCTATTTCAAGCCAGCTTATGTACTTAGTTAAATCTGACTGTAAAACTTTCAACTTGATATAAAGAACAGTGTTTCTTCCTAATCCATTATAACAAATGTTCCTTCATGTACAAACATATAAGGGAATTGTTAAAATGTACAATATTTATGATCGGCTTTTCAATATAAATAGTAAAGTTTGTGTGCCTGCCTGCCTGCCTGCCTCTCTCTCTCTCTCTCTCTCTCTCTTTTTTTCTTTCATATAAAACCAGCTGCCATCCACATTGCAGGGTACATGGTAATGTCATACTGCCAAGCACTAATGGACAGGACCCAAATCATCTCTCTTCCTAACTTGGCCCACAGTGGTGTAGCAAGACTAATCACCTGAAGTTTTCTGAGAAAAATATTAATAAATATAAACTTATATTAATTGGATTGGCATGAAACATGCCCCAGAGTTCATGCATCTCTTTTAAATTTGAATAAGTGTACAGTATCAAGTTTTGTTTCCTTTTTTCAAACAGTGGGATCTGTTTTCCAAGTGAGGAATGAAGACACAGATGTTACTGTTTTGTTGTTATATTCCTTAGATTTATTGCTCAGTTCTTCACCAAAGTGGCTCCCAAAGCAGATATCAGCTTGCTGGAAAGTTTTGTGAGTACACCAAACCAGACAGTGTGATGCCCTTTTAGAGTTTCTTTTGCTTCAAGCCAGCACCCCAACACAGTAGAAGAGAGAAACTGGACAAGATGTCACTGGCCAGCAACTGCTAATTGGGTGATAGCAGCCAGCCATGTTCTTCAAAGCAGAACACAACTCATTTCTGTGAGCTATTGTCACTGGGCCCTTAAGCTCTCCTCCCCTTGGTTTCAGGAGATTTTAAGCACAAACTGTTGCTTATTTGTTTCTAGAAAAAGAAAAAAACAAGGAGAAGGTGGAGAAGAAACACAACAAGGCTTTTTAAAACTGAGTAAATGGTCTGTCTCTTGTGACCCTTATGGTGGGCTTTGGAAAATTTTCTTTCTGATGTCTTGGGAGGTGAGTTGGTTAACTACCAACGGTACAGCACCTTTTCTGTGCCTGCACTTAAAGATATCTTTCTCTCCTTAAGATATTTAAGCAGAACCAGCTTTTGAGCATGAGGGCAATTATTCTTGCTTCTGTGGTTTATAAACTGCAATACTTCTTCTTCTTCTTCTTTTTCTTCAGCGTTTGTCTCGCGCTCGGGTGAGGTCCGCTAATGTCCTTGAGTACTGCTTCCACACCTCTCTGTCTGCCACGTGTGTTGGGTCTGCCTTCACGATCTCTAGATCGGCCTTGATCGTGTCCATCCAGCGTTGTTTAGGTCTAAACTGCAATACTATACTTACCTAACCAATTGAGTTCAGTGGAAGGTAAAAGTTTAAAGGATTTGATGAGTTTGGATCTTTCTAATTTATGAAATCTTGATCTTTGGTTCACTAAAGGAAACCTGCTAAAATATTTTATACTTTTATAATGTTTCCCCTTGTACAGAATGTTATTATTGTATTGTAAGCACAATACATATTTTTAAAAATTCCTAAATTACTGGAATTTTGATTTGTCGGGTGAAATGGCACATTGAACAGTAACACAAATACCTCAGAATAATGATTCAGTGTGTGCTTAACTCTGTACATTGAACTCGGTAGGGTTTTTGTTTTTGTTTTAGAAGACTTACATAACATTCACTGATTGAGAAATTTGGGTGATAGTCAATAGGTCCAATAACTTTTAGAAGTCCATATTATATCTTCTGAGATTTAATATTGAGGGAAGAGATTGATAGACAATTGCTGCCTATAATATTTAAAATGGATCCTAAAAATAATATCCAATTGACTATGGACAAAAAGAAAAAAAATACTCTTATGGTACATTAAAAACACATAATTTAGTTGGGGTAGAATATGAGTGAGGATTGATACATGGCCACAGAAAAAGGCAGATACATTTGGCTGTATATTGTTTTCAAATGACAAGAAATAATAGTACTGTGTACTATGTTTTCCTTTAATCAAGTCCTACCTTGAATACTGGGACCATGTCAGCCCTACAAAGGAGAGCAAATCAGGAAATCAAGTACAGAAGACTAGAATTATATTCCATTGCAATAGGCTATAATACCAGAATCTCCCAGAATCTGCCTGGGATTCTCCTCCCCTCCATCTTATACTCTAGGGCAGGGGTAGGGAAACTTGGCTCTTTTATCACTTATGGACTTCAACTCCCAGAATTCCTTAGTGAGCCATAAAAGTTTCCCCATCCCTGGCCCACATTTGTATATTAAACAGTCCCATTCAAGTCAAAAATTGATTTCCCCCACAGCTGAAAAAACAGTAGGCCAGGGATGGGGAACCTTTTATGGCTCACTCAGGAATTCTGGGAGTTGAAGTCCATAAGTGATAAAACAGCCAAGTTTCCCTACCCCTGCTCTAGGGAGTCAGGGGGCAAATCTGAGTCTCTCTATAATACTCTCCAGCTTCTCAGGGCTGAACTCTACTTCTTCATCTGATGGCTTCCAGATTCTTCTCCAACCAGGGAGCCTCCCTAATTCCCTATTCTCCAGTTCCAGGTACTGCCATTCAAGAGGGATTGAGACAAATTAGATCAGGTTGAAAGAAGAACCGAATGATCAGGAAATGGAAACTGCCTTCTGAAGAGCCATGAGGAAACAGGAGATAGAGTAGAAAAGATGAGAGGGGATATTATTCAGGTACTTTTAAATACCTGAAGACTCACAGGGAAGAAAATGTGGTATATTGTTCCAGAGTGCAGGATACAAAATAATAGATCTAAGCTCCAGGAGGACAGATCCTGATCAAATACCAAGGAGAAAAATAACTAATGCTAAATTAAAGAGTAGAACCACCACCCAAAAAGATCCTGGGCTCCCCTTGAGTGGATGTGTTATATAAATTAATAGCCACCAGTGAATTATGTTGTAATTTGGATTCCTACACTGAGCAAAGGGTTGGACTTGTTGGCTAAACGGCCTCTTCCAAATCTATAATTCTGTGATTTGAAATTTGTCATGACAGAAACTTTCATGAAATAACGCTCACTTCATCAGATGAAACCAAAGAAGAGAAGCCTCATCCATAAAATACGATGCCATAATGGTCTTCAAGGAACCATAAGGCTTTTGTGTGGTAATGTCATCCCTGCCTCAAATTAACGTATGCTTTAAAATGTTGTGTTTCCAGCCTGTCTCATTTTGGAGCCTCTCGGGGCTTCTGGGTGACCACGTCTGGAAATGGACAGCTGAACTGATGAACCTTTGATCCAGCAAAGCAGTTGACTTAAATGTAACTTAAATGTAAATAAAAGAGAGCAAAGCTTGCCAGCTACCTCATTGAAAGGAGATCCCAGTGAATGGCTTTCCCTAACATTTTACATCTCTAAGAGGAAGCATTCAACTAGCTTTGTTAGATGATCGCAGAACTTATTAGGCTTCCATATAAAATGTTCAGCTGCAGAACCAGGAGAATGTCTGCCCAACATCTCCATTTACTCAAGGTTCAAGAATGCAACAGCAGAAATTAGGGTTGCTTAGACTGCCACTGCCATTAAGTGGAAAGGCTATTCTTTAATATAACTGAATGTCATGAGACCCCTTCTAGTTCAGCATCATGGAAAAAGTAAGCATCTTCTCTGTATCATCACCCTGTCTGCCTTAATGCTTTTTGGATAAATAAAAGGTAGTGCCACTACCTACTAAATGAAAGAAGTGGAGGGGGAGGAAGAACAGGACTAGAGGGAGAACTCAAAATGGTATTGGAGCCTCTTGAATCTGGTAGTACTGTTGGATTAGCCCCAAACATAATAACAAACCAGATACTCTTGCAATAACAGGAATTGTTGCCATCCATGGTCACAGCCTAGCAATAGCTAGTCCTCAAAGATAAGAAGAGAGCCCAGCAGGAATAGGGCAAGGACTTCAAATCTATCAAATCCAATTGATATGAAATAGATATGCAAAAGCAAACTGACAGTTCATTTATTGCAGAAGCCTGTCAAAGAAAATTAAAAAAAATGCACCCCACATTTGATCCTGCATTCCCCAGTAGTGCAGGCAGAGTACTGAGGTGATACCCCTCTGATGAAAGCAAATCATCTATACATCTTTAATGCAGAAATTTCCTACAGTTGTATTCAATTGTCAAATTCAGATCCCTATGAAAGTTTACTAGATTAGAGTTACTTAACATAACATCTAACTATATCATAAGGTTATTGTAAGGATATACAAAGGATCCACATGAAAGAAGACTAGTTCCCTGAGCTTTGTAATGAAGCGTTGGAAAGATAGGTAGGTAGGTTGCTAGGTAGGTATGTAATCAGATGGATATATAGATGGAGAGAGGGCTTCTGTGCAGTGCTCATTCCAGATCCAAGATAAAAATGTACTGCATGCAACCCAGCCACTTCTTCCTTCTTATCTATTACATCCAGCATGACATTCCCCAAATTTAGTAGTAATTATTATTCGCTGTAGATACACATTGATACAATCTTGGGTTGCAATATACTCATTTACCTTATTTGTAGATTCCTTCAGTCAGGTTTTCCCAGTCTGATGCTCTCCAGATGCATTGGGATTCAGTTTTTAGCATTCTCCTTCTACCATCTAGGCTGGCTAGGAATTTTCGGAGTTGCAATTCCCAAATTATTAGTATAGTGCCAACTGGGGAAGATGGGTTTGGAATAATCTTCCTCAACTGGCACACTCCAGATAAGAATAATTCTTTCCCTCTCCTTTTTTATACTGATTTTATGCCTTTCAAAATCACAATTCTTACCACCAAAATACCAAAATAAATAGGTAACATTAAATATCCTTTATAAGGTAAAATACTATCAGAAAACAGCATTTGAAGCATGATATTTGATGGCATCTATGGTGTACTTCGCTTCCATCTGATTCAGAGGGAGATCACAAATAGTGGCACATATTATTTTTCTAAAGTATTCCTGCAAAGCTTTCAGAGAATTCAGAATTTGATGTTTACACACAAGCACAGAGCCCAGCCTTCAACATGTTACATTTGACGTATATTTTCTTCTCCATGCCTTAATCTGTGTGAAGGCTCAGCAGAAACACTTAAAACATGACCACAATGACAACATTATGATTCTTGGTCATGGTGTGACACCTCTGACCTCTTGGCCAGGAAGCCAGACTTTGTCCCTGCGGCCTTCCCCTCTTGGCCGTGCAGGGCAGCCTGGCAGGTGCTTTAAATCCCAGTTCAGGGCTCCTTTGCCACTGAAATCTAAGATCTAATCAGCTGATGTAGCACCACAGTTAATGTATCTTCTCTTCCTCAAAGGCTAGTAGAAAAAAGAGCAGCTCTTGAAAACATGCATTTTAAAAAGGTCTTAATTAGCTTCCTTTTGCAAGGGAGGGGAAAGGAAAGAGCTGGAACCTAGCCTTGAATAGTGCGAGTTGTCAGCATAGAACACAGAATTATAGGGCTGGAAGAGATCTCAGTTCAAGGCAGGAGACCTTCCATCATCCTGGTGAAATGGTTGTCCAGTCTGTTTTTGAAAACCACCAGTGATGGAACCCCTACAACTCCTAGAAGCAAGCTATTCCATTTATTGTTCTTACTGTCAGAAAATTTCTCCTTACTTCTAGCTTGGATCTCTCTTTAACCAGCTTCCACTCACTAACTTCTTGTCCTCAGACTTATTTGGAAAATAAGTCAATCTCCTCCTCTCTCTGACAGCCCCTCAAGTACTGGAAGACAGTTATCATGTCCTTCCCAATCCATCTCTTTATTTTTTTTAAACAAATTTTATTAATTTTTAAAGACATACAAAAACACAAATCATAGAAACATAAAAAACCTCTTTTCTGAAGGTTGCTTAGTCCCGGGTTAAAACTCTTCATACAGACACAAATTCAAATTCATATTCATATTCATTTTATATACCATTCCATATCTTATTAGCATTTTCAATTTCTATATAGCTTCTCTTCTCTTTTAAATTTTCTTAATTTTATTTTATTTATCTCATCTCAATTCAAATCATAATATTATTCTTTGTCTGTTCTACTTCCAGCTATCCATTTATCTTTCTTCTTTAAGGAAAACTTCTCCTGTACACTAATTGGAGCATGACGCCTTTATCTCTTTCCCCTACATTTATGATACTTAATATAGAATACATAGCTTACATTGGGATTCTCTTTGGTACATTCTAAAATTATACAATATTATCAATACCAATACAAATCTATTCATTAATATTAATGTTCATTTATATCTTAAACACTTAGCACATTACTTTTCAATTAAATCACATACTTTTATGGGAGCACCTACTTTCCAAGATTATTCCCCCCCACATCACATATTTTGAATCATTATTTCATTAGGGCGTTCCCCCTTCTCCTACTCCAAATCTCTCATTTCAAAAAAAAAAATTCCACTAGAACAACATAGTCTAATCATTAATATTAACAATCATTTATGTCTTAAACATTTTACCCATTTCAGTTAAATATCATGCCTTTATGGGAACACTTATGCTTTCCATCCCAAACCATCTCTTCAAGAGGCTAGCTGGACATATCCAGCTCCCTCAAATGTCCCTCATAGGATTTAGTTTCCAGACGTTTTATCTTGTTTGTCACTCTTCTCTCCACACTTTCTCCCTTAACAATTGCAATGATTCACTTAAGAACTGTTGGCAAAAAATGGTCATACAGCAAAGTGAAACTCACTTAACAACTGCGTTGCTTAGCAATAGAAATTTTGAGCTCATATGTGGTTGTAAGTCAAGAATTACCTGAATTACTGCTGGCAACATAATTTCTCATCACTGTGCAGCAGTTATTAAAAACATACTGGAAATGCTACTACAGGCCTTAACAGCAGAACTGCCAATATTTCCTCCCAAAACTAAGGGAAAAAAACCCATTTTTTTACCATGATGCCTCCTTCCCTGCCCACAATGGACTTCAGGCTCCCAAAATGTTAAGTGCAGCATCTGGCCATCAAAAAGTCCTTTCAGCTAACTTTCATTATTTTTCCCTTGGGCTAAAATAGTAAAAGCCACAATTTGGCCAGAGAAGCAGCCTAGCTGCTTTGCACAATTCTGATAAGTCATTGGCACAATGCTTCTACATCTAGCACTTTGGGATAAAAACAACATAAGGATGGGATATGAGACGAACTAGAGAATAACGTCCGTATTAGCCCAAACTGGCAAAAAAAGTGCCCCTGTGGTTATTATCCAACATAATGAATGTTACTGCAACATTATGAAACATAACAGGTTTTACCATTTGCATCTACTGCTGGGTGCTGTTTGTTTTAGAGGGGAAACACCACTTATAAATCTGGTACAGTTTAGGATGATTAAAGCTGGCTCACTCATGGGCTGGAGTTGCAGTGAAGGTAATATCATGGGTCAGGGTAAAAAAAAAAAGAGAGAGAGAGAGAGAGAGAGAGAAAAGGTGCTGCCAGGTATGTTTATTTCATGGTTTGGTAGAAGTGGGATAGGCCCTAAGCCTGATTAGATTAGCCTCTAATTTAGCTACTGTAGCAACTAAGAAGCCTGTTCGGTGTAAGATGTCAAATTAGAACCAGGAGACTGTGAGTTCTAGTCCCATCTTAGGCATGAAGTCATCTTGGTGTCCTTGGGCTAGTTATTCTCTCTCGGTCCTAGGAAAGAGGCAAGGGCAAATGACTTCTGAAATCTTGCCAAGAAAATTGCAGGGGCTGGTCCAGGAAGTTTCCAGGAGTGAAAATTGACTTAAATACACACAGAAAGAGAGAGAGAGAAAGAGAAAGACAGACAGACAGACAGACACACAGAGAGAGAGAGAGGCAGAGAGAGAGAGAGAGAGAGACTAACTGGACTATAAAAATGAAGAAGGAAAAGATGCAGTAGGAAGAGTTCTTACATTTGAGTCTGGTCTCTCCATTTCTGGTGTATGGCCCTCAGCACAAGCTGTATCCTTTGAAAGAAGACAGGTGTCATCTGATAAGAAGACAAGAAACTCAAGATAAGATAAGAAACCCAAGATAAGAAACTCAAGTACACCCTCCCTCATTTTATCTATATACCATTGGCCATTAATAATTTCTATTCTGGGTTCTTTCAATTTCCATTCACTCTTAGAAGCATTTTTAAGCTTTTTTTTTCTTTTAAGGCTCATTGGTTTGCCATAAAGAAGACTATGAAGGAAGACAAGTCACTGCAACCATATTCAAACAGCTCTTGACATGTCAAGAATATTTTAAAACTTCTGCTCCGTATGGAAATATCTCTAAATATCTCCACAGCATTGGGCTATGAATGATCCCAGAGGCCTGACCTCAATAACAGTGAGAGATGACTACCCTGTTTTAGTTGCTTGTAGCATACCTGGAGGTTGATTTTTGGGACTGATTCAATGAGGAGCTGGCTTCCTTTTGGTGTAGTGGTTAAGGCACCAGGCGATGGTGTGTTGAAATCCTGCCTTAGCCATAAAAGCCATCTGGGTGACCTTGGGCCAGTCACTCTCTTTTGACCCAACTCACTTCATGGTGATGCTGTTGTGGGAAAAATAAGAGGAAGAAAGAGTATTAAGTATATTTGTTGCCTTGAATTATCTGTAAAAATAATAAAGACGGGATACGAATAAATAAAAAATTGGCAGTTTTGTTGGTCCGTTCCCATCAGTAGTTGCTAGTGGTTTCTTAGAGCCATTTGCAGACAATGTAGCAGTTTTGAATAGGAATAGAAAGAAAAGCCACCTCAAAGAGCATATTCTTCAATCAAGTACAAAGTAAAGATAAGACAAGAAAGCAAAAAACAGACAACTGAATGCATCCTTGGAATTTAAGTGTGATTGCAATAGGTTGCTGTTTAGCAATTAGTGTAATTGCAGAATTACTGGTCTGGAACCAAGGCAGAATATATTATGACCTTGCTCAAAATCTATCACATAGATTTAACTTCTAGCCTAAATATTCTAATAACAACACAGTCCCTCATGCCATATCAACGGTCAACATTGGCATCAGTGCACCAAATATATTAGAACACAAGTCTTATTAGATCAAACTTAAGGGTGGCCTACCAGATGTTTTCCATAACAGCCAACCAGATGGTTTGAGAAGCCTAAAAAACAAAACATGAAGATAATAGTTCTTCTTTTGCATTTACCTCCTTTCCCTCTAACTCCAGCATTTATATGGGTGATTTCAGGAAGCTGTTGTTTTTAAAAGGTTCTTATTCATTAAGAGGCATTGATGATAATACCATATTAAAACCTTGTGAACATTTCCGTAATTGTTCTGTGTGTTTTTGAGTGAAACAGTTTTCATTATTCTGAATACTGATAATTTAACTGGATTGCACTGAGCTAAACACTTTAGAGAATTTTATATAAACACTCTCAAAGTCAATCTCCTTTATATACATTCCAATTTCTTAATAATGTTGGATACCTTTTTCTGTGCCTTTTCCAGAAACACACAGAATTCAAAAATATTCATATCACACATTTATTATTTAATATTGTTTATTTATAGCAAGTCCTTTTAAGTTGTGAGCATACATAACAAATTATTTATACAATGCACAACTTTAACTCAAAACAAACGAATCTGTGCTTCTCCGGAATATGATACAATAATAGATTTTTGCCTACCTCAGCAATATCTGAAACTTTAAGAAATTAATCCTTACTTGGAAGAACTGGAATAGAAGAGTAATCAGTCAAAACTGCTTTCCTTAAAAGATTACCAGTATTTCCTTAAAAGATTACTTACTAAGCTTGCAACTTTCAACTCTTCTGTCTCAAAACTTTTAAAAGTATAGTAAGACTCAAATTTTAATATTTAACCTCTTACTCTTGGGTTAATCCTACTAACTTGAATATAAAGCTGAAAGACCAACAATGCCATCAAATATGACGGTATCTTACCTTTTTTTGTTAATATTTCATTGGCATTTATTTTGATAGTGTACTGTAGTATGTGAGAAATCACATAACCTGAGAGGACCATTACATTACATTCTGAGACTGTTTACAGCAGCTAAAGGATCTCAAAAAGCTAAACAGAATCTACGTAGATAGAACCTGAATGACAACCCCTACAAAATCCCAGGGTTACTGAAGTTAAGAAAACATCCTGGAAGAATATAATGACAAATGACATCCACATTGTTGCCATGTAAGTTATGCAAGTATAAAGTAACTAAACATTGAGCTTGACTTGAGGGCTTCTACCTTATCATTCCTTTTTTTACTTTCTGAGTTGGACTTTCTTACCAGTACTGTACATTATTTGGTATTCCTTGCTTATTCATGGGCAAATTATCTGGGAGACTTTTTATAATTTTTTTCAGATGTGCATGAAACTTATCCTTTTCATTACTGTTGCTCAGAACTGATTTGTTCAATAACACTCCAATATATCATTCCTGTTAATCACTATCAGTTCAATTCTTGTTAGTAACCTCATTTTCTGCATAACCTAATATGCATTACTTGGATATTAACAGTACTTATCTGACCACATTTTTCACTTCATTGTATGTATAACTTTCCTGGAGCACAATCTGTTGATTTCTGTTTTAGTAGTCTAGAAATGCAAAATGATTGGCTCTTGCCCCAAAGAATTTATAATCCTTAATTCAACACAATGGAGACGTCAAACAAAAAAAGAACCAGAATTTAATAGACAGGAGCCACAAGAGAAGAATATATGCAGTACCATTACTCAGTTTTTTAAATGTAACAACCAAGGTTGTTTTAAATTGAAGAGACTGACAGTCATTTCAAAAATTAAATAGTCCCAAAAGATTATTAACAGGAAAGTTCCCTAGATATTATAGAAAAATAAATGAGTAACTTCCATGTTGCCAGGAAGAGCAATATGCTACAGCTGTAAACCAGATTATAGACATTTGGGTTTTTAAAAATATTTTGATCAGTTGATATAGATTTGGTAACATATTCCTTTACATGCTTATTCCTTTTTTCTCGTTTATTTTAATTCTTCTGATTCCTTCTTCCATAAAGCAAAGGAAACAATTTCTGGATTTAATATCAAAGCATATAGTATTGTTGGTTCAATTTTGAAAAATTATGCATTTTTCCTTTCCTTTATTACAGTTTATACAGAGAAACACTATAAATGTCTTGCTTGGAAATATTGGCACTTGGAGAGCTAACGCCTCTTACAGGTCTAGATAACTTTCCTGTATTTAAACAGATTGGCAATTTAAAACATTTCTTCAAGAGAACCTCTTCCAGTTTGTGAACCTGGTCTTTCATAGATAGAATAATCCTATCCAGAACAGACCAATTTATAACATCACCTCAAACTTTGTTTTGACAAACACCTTCAAGTTCTCTGAATATAAACTTAATTAATCTACATACACCATGATTGAACTAAGGCAATATTCATAAAGAGTACTGTATAAGCAGTTTCCTTGGTGTCCGAGGACCAAGAATGAGAGATCTTGTCATTTTCTACCTCAGTGCTCTATATATTCTTTGACACACAGCTACCGGCATGTTTAGAACTGTCATTGACTCCTCTGTTTCGGATTGTACTGGCCTGTAAAAGTCCTATTCTCAAATTTCTTGATTGTTAATCAAGAATATTGTATGCTAGCTTTCACGTGTCATACTTTCCCCCCCCTTTCATTCAATGTGTCCAATTTTAGAGACTGCCTGGACATATATCTGCATTATTATTATTGGTGATAGATATAACATACAATGGTTTATGTAACCTTCCATAAAAAAGACTTTGAGAATTCAAAGTATAACCTGATTAAAAAATTAAATATTTTTAAAGAAAAGATTTTGAAGGGGTAGTAAATTGCAGAACTAAAATATTACCAAAGGGTTGATGAGGCAGATTTCCCTTTTAAAAAGCCATGCTGATTCTTCCTTGTCTGAATTTTTCTTTCTTCTATATATATTTACTTATTCTAGCTTTAGTTATATTTCCCAAAAGTTTAACCAGGGCAAACCTTAATTTAACTAGCCTGTAAAGTGTTGGCTCACCCACTCCTATTACTTTATAAACAGCTGGATTATGCAAATTTATCTTCCTTTAATTGACTGGATTTCAAGGGAGATATGTCTTTGCATTATAGTCATAAACGAATAGTATATACCAGGACTCTCTAAGGTTGGCAACTTTAAGCTTGGAGGACTACAACTCCCAGAATTCCCCAGCTAGCAACACGAGGGGTCTCCAAACTTGCCAACTTTCAGACTCCCAGAATTCTTCAGCCAGCCATTAAAGTTGCCAAGTTTGGAGATCCCTGTACAAGACTGGAGATCATGAAAAAAAATGTTCTGAAGTCAACAAGAGGAGGCACTAACAGATACAGGTAGTCCTCATATAGCAATTGCCTCATACAGGGTCCATTTGCAGTTATGCTGATGAAAAAGTAGCTTTGTAACCAATTTGTGCATTTACAATCTTCACAGGTCTTTAAAGCAAAGGAAAGCTGAAATACTGTAAGCAGTCAAAGTGTTACCTAGCAACCGATTTGCTTAATGACCAAAGTGTTGGTCCCAATTGTGATCGCTAAGTGAGGCTGCCTGTATGGGGATTATTTGCATGCACAATAAAACATTGCAAAACAATGCATCCTCAAATAGGAGGCCTTTTTTTTAAAAAAAAAAGAGAATTCTGAAATTCACATAATGAATCACACACAAATGATATCCAGTTATTGGAAATTCAAATATTGATCATGCATGTAAACAAAGTTGGATATGATGCTGAACAGAGCTGGGGGCAGAGTTAATGGTTTTTCTCCAAGTATGCAAACCACATTCTTGGTCTTCTAAGCTTGGATTTATGACAGGGCTTCCTATAGGTAGTGTATCTGACAGGGGAACGGATTCTTCCATTACTTCCCATTACTTCAATTCATCCATTGAAAGGGGAGTTATTGCTTTAACTGACTTGTCCCCCGAAACCAGGGACACCTATCTTTCTCCAAGGCCTTTTTTTATTATTATTATTCCCGTGTTCACTCACACGGGTTAGAAAGTTGAAGCACGCCACGACTTGTGGTTCTTGATCAGACAGACCCGAGCGAGGCGGGGATCCTCGGCTTGCCCCCGTTACTCATCGGGAGTTTTTACCCCACCTCAGTCGGACGAGGCGGATCAGGTGAGAGGCCCCCTCCATAGTCTCGGCGCCTCCAACCTCGCTTCTCCCTTAACGGCCGAGGGGGGCTCCGGCGCCGCAGAGCAGCAGGAGGGGAGGAGTTGAAAGACCTCGAGGGGTGAGCTTTAACTTGTGGGGCGGGAGGCGGAGAGGCGAGGGCGCCGCTGAACCAGCCGCGGGGGGTGTTTGCCCGGCGTCCGGAGGAGGGCTTGGAGTCTCTCCGGCTCCCTTCCCACACCTGCCCGTCCAAGAAGCGGCGCGATCTTTGCTGCCTGCCCCGCCCCTCTGCGGTTCCCCCGAGGAGTCCCCTCCCCCGACCCGCTCAGGGGCTGCTGCTGCTGCGGCGAGTCGCGGCTCTGATAAAAGTTTTTGAGAGAAATCGAGCTTCACAATCGACGGCGAGTGCGCGGGGGGGAGCAGAGCGAAGCTTGCCGGCTCTTTGCCTCACGATGCGCCTCAGAGGCGCCGAGAACCGACGCCAGCCCGGTAGGTCCGCGCCGGGAGACGGAGGAAAACGGGGGCGTCCTCCTTGGGTCAAGAACTGGTGGTCGCCCGTTGGAGCGCGGCCGGCTCGAAGGTCCCTGAGCCTCCCGGGGTGAGGGTGGGGTGGGGACAAAAGTCCCGAGGTGAGTTTTCCGGGGGGGGGGGGCTCGTCGTGGCGGTTCGTGGAAGGGAGCCCTCGCGGCTGCATTTGGGAGTCTGCTCGGCTCTCGTCCCCGGGCTAAGAAGGAGCGAGCTATGCACACGCGCGCGGCCGGCAGCCTTTTCTCGCCTCCATCCCTAACTCGGATAGTTTATGCGCTCTCCGGTTGGAGGGTCGCTGTGAGGAGCAAAGGGAGTCCGGCCTCATCCGGATCACCCACGCGGAGCAAAACATAACGGGACAATCCCGCCGCGTGCAGAGGGTAAGTATGATTGAGGGATAAACCTTCGGTAAACTTTCCACGAGGCAGCAGCGAGGGAGCAACCAGGGAGCTCCCAAATATTCCACGCTTCAAAGGCGCTCTCATTTCGGGGACCGACGCAGATAGAAAATTCCCCACCCAACGCCGAATATGTCTATTCGGGTGCGTCGTAAGAGTCGGGGGGCTCAGTAGTCAGTATCTTTAGTCAACCCCCTGCCAGGAATCGTAGCTCCTCTCTTAGTAAGAGGGAGCGGGCTTCTCCTCAACCTCCCGCCGAATAAGACAGTTCTCCCAGCAGCACGAATCTGTCACTATTTTGCTGTTGACAATTTGGAGGGGGGGGGGCAGGTATCCATCTATGAGATTGGTTTTATTTATGCCTTAAATTTATATGGCTCTATGAACAGGTATTGTTGAACAGAATACCAAATAGAAACAATTTGGATTCTTTTTTAAATTAGGGTGGACATATCTAGTGGATATATAGACGTAATTACATTTGATGTACAGAGAGAGAAGGAATGAGCCTCCACTGTAAATTCAGCTCAGAACTTTATGGCTTTTAAAATCTAACAGATGGATACAGTCTGACTTTTGATGAGCTGCAACTCACTGCACCCAGTGCTTTCGCTGCTGCAATTTCTGCACCTGTTTTCTATCCTCACCTCATATTGTTTCTGCAGGCTCTGCTGGGTCTTGTTACTTTAGTAGTGCTCCAACGCTGGCTGCCTTCAGCCTTTGGTCCCCAATCTGTGGCCTGGCCTGGCTTAGTTCATTAATTACCTAACACTTGGCAGAACTTCCACTTAATTAATACTAATGACAATCTGCTACATGTGCAAAAGAAAAGGTGGCTGCGGGAAGAGCGTGCCCAGTGCTTGAGCAAACAATATTTAGCAAAGAGTGTGTCCCATGTGAACTCTTATACAGAGATGGGAGTAGGGAAAGTGGGGGAGGGGCATTAACCATCTCCCTTCTAATCAAAGAGCAACATCCAGTTTACGTTGCAGCAAAGGGGGAGCGCAGTGGACACTGTTATTGTCCATTCAGGCGATTCGGTCTAAAATTTCTAGATGTATAATATAATCTCACAACATCCTCTGGTAAAATTAAGAAGGATCCTAGGAGAGTATCCTTGAGGTGTTTGAGTTCACATTGAAATTAGAGATGTTAGAAATGATTTTGCAGTGGGAATGAATTCCTGGCCCATCTAAAGATTAATGTTTGAGAGTGGACCCTGTCACGGCTGGGTTTACTGTCAATCTTATTCTTATCAATATACCATTTCATAAAAAACTTTCTAATGTGTCAGGAGTATCAGATAATAACCTTTGGTGCTCTTTGTAGCAGGATAATGGAGTGACAGCAAAATCCTAACCAAGTTGGTAGCTGATGTTTTTTTTGGCACTGTTGAGTGAGCTGTTCCGTTGACATCCTTAGTGAGAGCAAGGCAAGGATCTGATCATAGGGATATTTCAATGTATCCTTTCTTCATTGTCAGGTAAAGTCCAGACTTACAGCAATTTTATCAATTTTTTTAGCCCTACATGAAGAACAGGTTTTTTTTGTTTGGTTTGGTTTTTAGAAGTAGTTCTGAACTTTAGTCCTGACAAGAGTGAGAAGGTTTAGGTCAAAAGCCCATATTTTTGCTAAACTTGTTTTCTTCTTTTCAGCTGTGACAACATTTTGGTTCTTTTTAGCAAATTCTTAGAAAAGCTGCCTTTGAGCCAATAGTTCCCTTTTAATCTATTATTTGGTTTTCTAATATGAAATGGAGCACTGACATGACCTTAAAATGCCTTGAAAGACTTTTTCCTGTTTCTCAAAAATCGAGTCCCTGCCCCTCTGTAGTATGGACTGGAAATTTTGTATATGTATTTATGTTATACACCAATGTCTTTCAAAAGGGAAAAAGTAGAACAAAATTATGGAAAGGTCTAGACTGGTTTTAATACTAAAGCTGTACAGTAATACATAGTAAATAAATTATACAGAAATATAAGTATTCATATTTGTGAAAAATAGTATATTAGTTATTATCTGATAGGTACGCCACTTTTTAAAGGACTTTTAATTATTTGAACAGTTAGCATCAGGGGTTCAATGTCTGGGACGTAACGTTAGAACTCTCTCTCTCCTTCTCCCTCGCTTCCCCCCTCTATATCTATCTGTCTGTCTGTCTATCTATCTATCTATCTATCTATCTATCTATCTATCTATCTAATCTAATCTAATCTATCTATATCTATATATCTATATCTATATCTATATCTATATCTATATCTATATCTATATCTATATCTATCTACACACACACACACAAACGCACACATGTGCCTAGTAGCATCTGGATTTTACAGCCCATATCAGTAGCCCTAATATCCCAAAGAATATATCTGTACTGTATTAACATTATTTCCCAGTCTGGTGCCTTGCTGGTACACGAGACTACAACTCCCATTCTCCGTAGCCAGTTTTGCATTCTAGCTCTCCGTGCCTCAAAGCTTTAAATGGGTAAGAGGAGACGCATGTATCAAATCTGAAGAAAAACAGTTTGCAGAAGACGGTTACAGATTCCAAGCTGCATGTTGCCACTGAAATTATAAACATTTTCAGAGACCTCTCTCTTCTCTATCTTGAACTGTTCTATCTCTGCTTTATATGCTCCTTTTTTAACTGAAAGATGTCTAATATGGTTTGTAGATTTCCCATAATCTTTGCTTTCTTTATCTTGAGTGTAATTCATTAAAACCTCCATGACTTGGAAAAGATCACCACTGTTATGGTTGCAAACATAGCAAAGAATCTGTCCTGTGCACGTACCAAATGATCCCGGTTGTAATAGAGAAAGGTCATGAGGCCATCCATGTTCTCATCTAATGTAACTGAATTCATATTGGAACATTGTTGATATGATACTTCCTCATGTCACAATTAGCATGAACCTGAGAGTAAACCCTGGGAATTAGGGATGAAGCAGAATTAGCTTTTCTGTTCTCTGACTCTTTCCCAGTATTTAATTTATAATTAATTACATTTATATTTTTTATAATTAAATACTGAATTTAATCAGATCTGGAAGCTTTCACTGATTCTTTCTGTATGTACGTAGTGATAAAGTTTTCTTTAGATAACTAGAATTTTTAAAAAGCACGAACCCTATCTATTGAAGTACATATGGGATATGATACACTATCTGCTTATTAGAGGGAGTTTATTGCATCTGTGCTGAGTTTTAGAGCTAGTTAAATGGTTGTGCAGCTGCTCCACTGTGTGGCCAAATCAAAGATTATTAATCCCCCAATATTTTTCACAGTAATCTTGATATTTTACCATGCCATTGAAAATGCTTGATCACTAGTCTTATACCATCGTGGTAAAATCTTAGCTTGGGCTGGAAAACTTTGACTTAGCTTGCATTAAAAGCATAGTTACCTGACTTCATCACTGTTCCATTACACAAGAAGGAACAGATTCATTCAATTCAGAAACTTCCCAGCTTTGCATTAGAATCTGTGGCCTGATCAGAACAAGTTGCAATTCAAACGAAGCATTGAACAATCTTTTATATGTTTACTTAGAATAAGTAACCCTTTGTGCAGCGGGGCTTCCAGTAAAGCATGCCTGTGATTCCAGGTGAGCAGAGCAATTCTATATTCAGAGCATTTTGTGATTCCACAGAGTGGCTGCTTTGCTTGCACACCTGCAGAACTTAATAAGTGTGATAGGAACACCAGGGGATGTCCTTCTTGTATCCTTCCTGTTGTTGTTTTCCCTCAAGAGAAAAAAAAAGTTTCATTTGGTTTGGCACATGGTGAAAGGTTAGAGGTCTTTGGCTGCAATCCCTAACCAAAGCCTATTTTGTGCATTCTGGGCTTTTACTAAGGTCGGGATTTCCTAACCTCAGGAGTGCCAGCTATGAAGTATAGCGGGGAGTAGGGGAACTATGAAATTGAGGATAGAAACAAAATACCCTATGCCACTGAGAACAGCACTTAAAGTCCTAACTCCGTTCTTCAGTTGGGTAGGCTGTGATTATAGCAACTCTAGTTAAGCAGATAACGAGTGTTCAGTACTTCAGGCACAAGAGACAGAGAGCAATTCCACTTTTGTATTTGTATATGGAGATCCAAACATAATGATGAAAGAGAGGAAGGAGGGGAGGGAATCCATCGCCTGTTCATGTTCATTTTTTATTCTTACCCTCTTTATACTATCATTGCAAGTAAAGAGCAATTTATACACCAATTCCAAAACTGGCATTAATTACCCTTAATTAGGAAGCATTTCATGAGAATGCAGATGTTACCATACTTACAAATCCAAGCTTGAATCTTCCTTGAATGCTGATGCCTCTAAGATATCACAGCCTTGTTGTCAGAGAATCAAAGGGGTTCTGTAGTGATTGGGAAGAGAATTGTGACTTCAACTTCTCCCGCCTTCAGAGAAAGATCTGCCGGTCCTATAGGATATCATTTGAGAAGGCTTTTCATGGCTAATTGTTTCTTGAAAATGTTCCAGTATTTCGGGGAGCAACATTTTTACTGCTGAGGTTCACTTTCCTTTGTGGCTCATCTGCAG